ATTATACCGACGTATTGTAACCTCCAAGTTCCTCTGGATGGAAGAACGTGTTTTTGAAATATTTAGTTTATTAATTTACAGAATCATAAAATGCTATTAAGTTATTATTAAAGAAAATTAAGATTTTTGAGTCGTTACGATGAAACATAAATTATTGTACTGTGTAAGTACGTCATGGATCATCTGTATGGGACAAATTCTAAAGAAACTTCGGCTTTTAACCGGCGCGGCAGCACAAATAGGAACTAGCAAAAATTCGCGTAGTGATTTCATTTGATTTATCGAGACATTTGAGGGTAAAAATGTTAAAAGTTTTCCTGGGTTTTGAGTCAAAGTGGATGTTTAAGCCCTCCTGGGGTCTGTTTTTGAAAACCCCCGATTGTTTTAAGTTAAAAGTCCCGATTGTTTGGATCAGATGATCGAGGTGCCCAGCTACAGTTCCTTCTCGTCCAATTGATTGTTTTTCAATCATTTCATGGAATATCCGACTGAGTGAACACGAGCTTCTTCATTTATGGCTATTATAAAATGTTATTTCGTTGTTATAAAAGTAAATTCAGACTTTTGAGTCGCTACTATGAAATAGAAAGTATTGTACTGTGCCTGGGGGGGTGGGGACAAAGCCCCATAGAATGATGAGGGATGTAAATTAGTCCATATCTCAAACTCTCCAGAGGTGCTTAAAGTACTACGACTTTTTTATTTATTTTATTCATTTTTGCCACGACGAATTTTATCCATTTTTCAGTTAAGTATTAAAGATTACCTTGAGGGTAACTTCGTGATTGTCAAAAGAGTCTAGCTTCCAGTTGGTTTAGAAAATGTTTTAGACTACAATGCCGACGGTAAAAGGAAACCAGTGTTTGGACAGAACTAAATCAGATATTATAAAAGTCGAAGAAAGTAATAAAGCTCCATTGAAATTCAAAGTCTGCCTTGTAGCCTTGACCAACATAGTGATTTACAGTTAATGCGCCTACTGCTGATCTCCAAAACATAAGACCGCAAAAATGACGGCATTTTGTAATGCACAAAACAATAACACCAGCAGATTTACAGGATTAATTGCTTTGTGCACAAAAAAATATATACACGATGATTTAATTTGGCGTTATTCCTCTGGAGGTTTTGACGTGGGAAATTAACTAAGTTCCGAAAACATAGTGAACGATTCTCATAAAACAACCCTTGAAAAAACATTTGTTAAAAATCTTGAAGGTAATTATAAATTAGGAGTAACAATATATTTAAATACACCAGCACATGACGACTTTTTCATTAACAAAACGTACATACCTGTTGCTTTCTAAGCAAATCAACGAAAGCAACTAAACCAAATATTTAAAAAATCTTTTTATTGATGGAACTATATTTGTCACCCTAAATTAAATTGTGCGAAATTCAGGTTTTTAATTGGCCGGAAACCAATGATATAAATACCTGATATTAATGTATACTCCATTATCTATTACTTGATGCAAAGTTTCTTAAAAGTTTCAATATTAAGGAAAATTTAATCAAACCCTCTTAATTGTGCCCCTGCTTGTTTATATTAAACTGACCACAATCTTAATCGTTATTAACAGAAATATTATTTTCTCCAAAACCACAGGCAGGAGAAATTAAAACTCTTTAAATGTATAAACTTACAGCAGATGTTCAATTTAAATGCAGAAAGTTATAGTCAACTTCCGATAAATCCGTAACAACCAGCACCTTGAATGTCTACTTACTTGTAACTTACCAACTTTAAGCACTATTCTTTTCACCACTGTTCTCTGCCAACGTTTGACGACGTTCATAGTACGACACCCTGTATGATTTGCACAAGCTCCACCTCTGAAAATGTTCCTTTCAAGGATTTGACTTGATGACTATTGTTGGACTTTGAAATAAAGCAATTCAAAAATTAATATCACACATACTTTATCAAGTTGTATCCATACAATTATGCTATATGCTTCTATCTGATTCGCATATCCAAATACTTATCATGCAGGAACGAATTTGCTGTAAATGTTGAAATGATTTAGATCCCTTACTTGAACCTACAAACATTTTGTACATGGGTGTATATTTTACATTGCAATGCAAAAGAGAGCAACACAGTGCAGATGTCTTGAGCAGAAAAACGGAAAAGGTTCATCTGACCAACGCCCTTAATGCTTAATTGTTACATTGAAGGTCTACATCAAACGTAAATACTAATCAGGACATGGCCTTTATCAACATGTCTGATAATTAAATAAATAAAAAGTGACGATATTATATTAATAGACTTTCTTATATCTTCATTTAATTCCGATCCTTCTTCACAACGTCCTCCGAGTATCCGTTATTTGCTCAATCCCAAATAGTCATTGTTACAAACACAGCTGCTTCTTGTTAGTCAACTACACCCATGTACTTTATGTTTTTCATCGATATAGTAGCAGTCTAAAAACTACACAAATTGCATACTTATCTCCAAGTTATGTTACACGTTCTCTAAGTTAAAATACATCTTATATTTATATAAAAATTATCCTAATTGACTAGTCTGTTACGGTAAGATCACACCAAGTATTGCTTATGTTTAATATATTTGTTCATCCGATGAATGTCCTCATTTTATATTATTTAAGTAGTCTATAGGACGACTAGCATACGAACAATACAACCATATTTTGTCACATATCGTTAAAGCCATCAAATCCACATGGTTTAGAGGAGAATCAGCAGCGAATAATACAAGAAAATTAAGAGATTAAACGATACACCATTTCAAAACACATTTCAACTGGTATGCCCAGATTTGAATTGTAATGTATAATTGAGCGTTGAAACATTGCTAATATGTAGATTCAGCAGTGTTAAATTACAGGATTATACAAATTATATAAAAAATAATTTATTAGAAAATTAGGAGAAAAGTAGTTAGCTGGTATTGTTATTACTCTTCTATGTGTATTTGTTCAAACTATCAAATGTGAAGGAAAAATACAGTAAAAACTAGTCTCGTAACGTAAATCGTAGCAAGTCATTTATGTATTAAAATTATTCACCTGCATGGTGATTATTTAGTACCTACATAAGTGGTTGCTTTTGAATTCTTTTGATAATTTGCTTTTATTCTCTGGTAATTTATCGACCATCATACTCTCCAATTTCTCGACTCTTTTATTACCCACTTTCTGTACTCATCTTTCTCTCTCATCTGCGTACAAATTATTACATTTGCCAAATGGAAGTTATACGTAAACGGAGTTAAAATCTTAAGAAGCAAATATTGCTTTTTGACCGACTAGCTTTTTGAAATGGTTCATAACGTTGCAACGAATTGAAGTTACAAATCTGTTATTATATTTATTAAACCCCACTATATAACTTAAAATATAAGTTTTCTTATATACAGGCTATTTTAAATTAGGCCGGCACTATTGGCAGCTTTAATATTAGTGAAGATAGGAATTAGATCAGTTAAACTTGGAAGCAATGCATTTTGTTTTACTGTATGAAATGGCTTAAGTTTTCGCGGCAAATATTTAAACAGTTGGTTTTATTTTGTATGTTTTCGTTTATATTTTTGCACTGATTATGATCACCCAAACATATGTTGATCCAAATAATTTTTCAGTTTCATGAAATATAGTAGAACGTAACTTTTTTCTCAGTTTTCAGATATTATAATGATAATCCCGATTTAAATTTTTATAAAAAAACCCGTCAAAGCAAAGCTTTAGTGATTTTTTTACCTCGTCAACCATAATCACTAATAAGAAAGTTTTGAAGAAAACGTACAAAGAACTACGTAAATCAAATAACGTGTTTTTTCATATGCTTTGAAAAATACTCGATCGAGTTAGTCATCAATACAGTTGTGATTTCAGATAGATACTGTATATAACTGAAATAGCGCGAACAAAGAAGATAAAAACTTAATTCTATTTTTTTTTGCAAAATCTCTAATTTTAAATTTAACCGTTGTTTCTGCTACAGATCGTTATTTATTCAGTCATTTTTCAATTCAATGTTATTTAATGGTTTCTTTGTAGTTTATGCATTGAATTTACAGACGAACTAAACAGAATCAAAGACACAATTTCAAAGTATTAAACTTACCTCAAAGCAAACAGAGTGTTGAACTTGTGATCAGTCAAATTTAAAAGTTTTCTCTTGCTTAATTAACACCTGTGAGGGGCATTTATTAATTTTTCATTTCGAAATTACTTTGGTACTTCATAAATAAGATTTGGACTTTACATAACCCATTTCAAAGTGTGTTATGGAGTTGGAATGTGATCTAATCATTCAATAAAATCGCTTCTTTTCATCTAATAATTTGAAAATCTTTTGAAAA